ACTTTGTCTGTAACATGGATAGGAATTGCAAGCTGTCGCAAATGTGACTTCGGGTATTGAAAGATACTTGTTGACCAGTCCTTACAGGCACTCTTTCCTTACTGCCATGACGGCAGGAGGTCAGTACAGTTGGTTCCCTTTATCGTTCCCACTTGAGCTAGCTGAAAAACTGGTCAATGACCTTGCACTTAAATTGGATAAACATAAGGTAGGAACCCTATGTGTTTCTTGCTGAGCATACTCGGCCCGGTTTGAGAAACTCGTGTTATTGACTTGCATTTGCTAGTATCAAGAACCCCCGCGATATTGAGACTAGTCCCTCAATATTCGCTAAATGATAGCTTACTGTGTCTGCCAAACACCCTCGCTATCATACCCTTTGTGTTAGTCTCATTTCGGTCCCAAGTGCTATTTATGGAAAGTGTCTAGATTTGCTCATTTGGCATATCTACAAAATGTAGAGATTAGCCTGAACACAATGGTGTTCGTCCCGTGTCCAAGTCACAATCTAGTGCCATTCCATATTTAGTAAGTTTCGGACTAACTCTTGGTACTAAGGGAGGCTTTGGGTGAAAGCCCAAAGCGTGTGTCCCTCAAGGGGGGTGGGCTATGGGGGTTCCAAATGTATAGTAGAGATAGTGGTTGGAATGCATGTCCGACCACCTGAGACATTAGTTTGGCTCCCACTGGGCTGTGTCGCTCCTTGTTCTGCGTCCGGCTTGGGTCTAAGCCCAAGCTCCATGCTGCTCTAGTCGGTGGAGTACCCTCCTCCTCGCGTTAGGCCACCAGTATGCCAAAATTGTGCCAGACTCCATCTGACACCATTTTGCATGTAGGTGCTGGATACAGGGAGCTGGTGCTCGTGGGATTGTACTGGACCCTCGTTCGTGGCACAACGGGCTTGGAGTTCAGCTCAAAATTCAGGTGTGCTACATTTGGTATTAGAGGACGATGAAGTTCTACAGCCACCCCCGGTTGCACGAGTTTCAAAGTTCAAGCATCCGAAACCACCCAATTTCAGAGGCATGCGGGACTATCAAGTTTTGGAGGACTGGGTCTACGATATGGAAAACTATTTCATAGCGGCAGACGTAGATGATCGTATGAAAGTTGAGTGCACGCAATCCTTTCTCACTGATCATGCCAAAACTTGGTGGCGCCAGGTGTGTGCTGAAAAAGGGCAGACTAAAAGTTGGACCAAGATGCGGTCTCGTATCCGTAAGGAATACTTGCCAGATGATCTTGGTCTAAGACTTTGCGGGGAGCTGCGACGGTTAAAGCAGCGAGCGGACCTTATTAATTACGTTAATGCGTTTGCTCAGAAGCGCATTATGATTGCAAATATGAGTGACGAAGATGCTCAGAGTTATTTTCTGGAGGGTTTAAGTTCATTTTCTCGCAATGAGATTTTGAAGTTTAAGCCGAAGACATACCTGGAGTGTAAGGAGGCAGCACAACAAGTTGCCTTTAGTCACTCGCTCATGGAACAATATCAGCAACTGCATGCTGGTAACTCAGATAAGAATAGAAATTCTGGGAATAAGCAAGGTGATCGGAAACAAAGGGTGGAAAGTAGGTACTGCCCTGGGGGCTCACAAGCTACGGTAAACAAAGGTGGTGGTGGTTGGAGACCACTAGCAGCTTCTTCTGGTCCTAGGCCCTCTGTTCCTCCTCCTGGTGGGTACAAGCAGTAGCAACTTACAAAACCTGCTCCTAGTGGAACGGGTAGTGTGGGTCATTGCTTCCATTGTGGAGAGTCGGGACATAGGTCCTTGGAATGTCCTAACAAGCATAAGACAAGGTCTCGCGTTAATGTCATGAGGGAAGACGGTGGTGGTGAAGCTGAAGGGGTTGACGAGTTGGTCAATGCAGACTATGAGGAAGAAGAGGTGAGTAACTTTCATTGCTTTCCTCAAGCTTTTCTTGCAGTCAATGCAAACACTGATCCGTTGATGTATTTGGTAGGCTTTGTCCGTGGACACCGAATCCGAGTGATGATTGACACGGGAGCTACGCACAGTGTGATATCCGAAGACTTAGTTAAGTTGTTAGGATTAAATGCTGAGCAAATGTCACCTATGCACTTCCGGTTTGCGGAAGGTGGGCAAGTAGCCAGAAAGTTTGTGAGTGATGTTCCAATAAAGATATCCAAGTGGAAAGAAAGAGTGGACTTGGTAGTGTTGAAGATACCAGATTTTCAGATGGTGTTTGGTATGGATTTCTTCAACAAGTATATAAAAGGGATTTATGGTGCTAGACAAAGTCGTATCACATTGAAGTCAGAAGGACATCCTGATGTATCCTTTCAGTTGCAAAAGCATTCCTCAAAGGATTGGGATGCAAAGTTCCTGACTGCGAGGGCCGCTCAAAAAGTAGCTAAGAGGGGATGTCAGACTTTTTGGGTTCAAGTGATGGATGCTGAGGGTGTTGGTGACTCGGTTCAAATCAGCGATAGGGTTGATCCTGTACCAAAGAGGATATTGGAGTTGTTGGCGAGGAATCAGGATATCTTTCCGAAGGATTTGCCGCCAGGGCTACCTCCTAGCCAGGAGGTTGATCATCGGATTGAGGTTATTCCAAGTTCTAAACCACCTACAAAAGCTCCATATCAGTTGAACATCAAGGAGATGGCTGAACTCAAGAAGCAACTCACGGAGCTTCTTGACAAAGGTCATATCAGACCAAGCAAGTCATCTTATGGAGCGCCGGTCCTTTTTGTTATGAAAAAGGATGGAACCATGAGGATGTGTATTGACTATTGGGCACTCAATAAGATCACGGTCAAGAACAGTTATCCTTTGCCTCGCATTGATGACTTGTTTGACCAACTCTTAAAGGCTAAGTATTTTACGCGACTTGATTTGGGGTATCATCAGATACGGGTGGCGGATCAGGATGTGGAGAAGACAGCCTTTAAGACTTGATACGGATCTTATGAGTTCCTTGTCATGCCATTCGGGTTATACAATGCTCCGGCAACGTTCAGCACTATGATGGATAGAATATTCGGAGATTATTTGGATGCATTTGTTGTCCTGTATATCGACGATGTTCTAGTCTTTAGTGAAATGTTAGAGGATCATTTGAAACACTTGGAGCTGGTGTTTCAAAAGTTGCATGAACACAAACTGTATGCTAAGGAAAGTAAATGCGCTTTTGGACAATTGCGCGTAAACTTTCTTGGACATATAGTTGGTGGTGGCGTGATTGAGGTCGATCCAAAGAAGGTGGAAGCAGTGAAGTCCTGGGAAGTCCCGACCACTGTATCAGATGTTCGTTCATTTCTCGGTTTGGCAGGATACTATCGCAAGTTTGTCCGCAATTTTGCAAGAATTGCTCTTCTGTTGACTGAGTTGACAAAGAGTAATATTTCATTTCATTGGACACCAGCTTGTCAGCGTGCTTTTGTACGATTGAAGGAGATCTTGACTACGGTTCCTGTTCTCAGGATCCCAGATCTTGATAAACCCTTCGAAGTGCATTGTGATGCATCTGGTTATGCTATTGGTGCCGTGTTACAACAAGATTGTGACAAAGCGGTTGGTGTTACGCTAAAGTGACATGGTTGTCCCGTTGCGTTCTATTCCAAGAAATTGGATGAGACCCAACGAAGATGGCCAACGCATGAGAAAGAGATGTTTGCTATAGTGTCGGCCCTAGAACACTGGAGACACTACTTGGGTGGACATACCAAGGTTTATACGGATAGTAACACACTAAGCTACTTTGCTATGCAGCCTAAACTTACGCCGAAGCAAGCTCGTTGGCAAGAGAAGCTTGCTAGATATGATATTGAAATCATATATAAACCTGGTAAAGACAATATTGTTCCGGATGCGTTGAGTCGTCAAGCTCAATTCCGGGCAATATCGGCAATCAGTTCGGACTGGTTGGAAGACATTCGGGCTTCGTATGGAAGTGATCCATTAGCGAAGGCAATCTTATGCCGTGCGGGGTTGTTGAAGCAGAGCCCTAGTAGCGAAGTAGCAAAAGTTGCTAGTCGCACTAATGTGAAGCTTCACTTCTCAGTTCGGGATGGGCTTATATACTATAAGCAAGAAAGATTGTATCTTCCCTCTAAGGATCTTCAACAGTTATTTCTGCGGGAACATCATGATGTTCTAGTAGCGGGGCATGGTGGGAAGCAAAAGACTCTAGCTTCATTGAAAAAGGGATTTTTCTGGTCTGGTATGGAAGGTGATGTAGCAGATTATGTCTGTTGCTGCCCTATATGCCAACAATGTAAGTGCAGAATTGAGAAGTAGGCTGGAAAGTTGTAGTGCATTCCAGCACCAGCATGGCCATTTCAAAGTGTGACACTTGATTTTGTCACTTGTTTGCCGAAGTCTAAGGGTTATGATACTTTGATGGTGGTTGTGGATCGGTTGTCAAAGATTGCACACTTCATTCCAACTGTGAGAACAGTAAATGCGAAACAAGCAGCAAAGCTCTTTTTCCATGAAGTAGTGCGAGTTTGTGGTCTTCCTGAAGAAATGATCTCAGATAAAGATTCAGGGTTTACGGGGAAGTTTTGGGGAACCCTGTTCTAGTTGTTTGGTACCAAGTTGAAGTTTAGTACGGCTTATCATCCTCAAACTGATGGGCAGACCGAACGCGTGAATGCTCAAGTTGAGGATTATCTGCGGTACTATGTCGCGGCGGACCAACACGACTAGGTTGAGCATTTGGATACAGCAGAAATCTGTTATAACAACACATTTCACAGTGCTATAGGCTGTTCTCCATGGAAGATGCTGCAAGGGAATGCTCGTGGGGTTCCTCAACAGATCGTTGTATCGAAACCAAAGCCCGAAGTGTTGGTCCCAGCCGTTGAAACTTATGTAGAGCAGCTATGCCAAGGTTGGTCTAGAGCTACTGAGGCGATGGGCAAAGCTCAGGATAGGTATCGACATGATAAGGATCAGCATCATCGGGATGTATCCTATCAAGTGGGAGATCAGGTGTGGCTATCTTCCCGAAACTTGAACATTAAGGGTTCTATGTCTCAGAAGCTCTTGCCAAGATATGTTGGCCCTTATCAGGTATTGGCACAAGTTGGTGATGTATCCTATAAGTTGGATCTTCCGGATGAGTTGTCCACTGTACATGATGTGTTTCATGTCAGTTTACTGGTACCATATCGTGTTGATGCGGATCGCTCTATGGACATTCATCCCCCTCCGGAAGTTGTGAATGGTGACATGGAGTATGAGGTCGAAGCAACTCTCTTGTCTCGCAAAGCTCGTGGTGGTCGTTCCAAGGAATATTTAGTTAAGTGGAAAGGTTACCCGACTTGTGAATCAACTTGGGAACCTCTTAGAAATCTTACCCATGCTCGTGAGCTTGTCACGAAATATGAGAATCGTAATAAAGATTAGCTTTTGTAAATATTGTAATAAATCTTGCCAATTAATAAAGTAATATATTTCTATAAATCAAATTGTCATTTCTCTCGTTCGTTAGTACTTGGGTCAGTTTTGGCAAGCTGACTTCGGCACTTTGGTGCATGGGTCCAATCCATAACCATGGGGATAACTATTATAGACTGATCACAAGTCCCTGCCTCTCTCTTGATGGCTATTTTCGACAAGGGGCATGGTTGTGTAAACAACTTACTCTGCCAGTTTATAATAATTGTCTAAATCTTCCCGACGGGGTTGATTTCTTGCTCAGGGGAAGTTGGCCTTCTCCCTATGTCCCTACGGGCAGGGATGTATCATTCCTTTGTAAGCTGAGTGGTACTCAGAGTAGCAAGGGTGGCTAACTCTGTTAGTCATTTTCTTGTCGGCGACGGCCGGAGGGTGTCTGAGTCTTAACATTTTTGGACATAGAGGAGAGGTCGTTTCTTAACTCATTTAAGTCGGTGTGTTTCCCACATAGTGTGCTTTCCGTTAACTTTTGGAGTTGTTTCCTTGATGGTTTGCTAGACTCGGGTATGCATTGACGAGGACGTCGATCTTCCCCAAAGGGGGGAGAGTGTCGCGAATGTGACTTCGGGTATTGAAAGATACTTGTTGACCAGTCCTTACGGGCACTCTTTCCTTACTACCATGACGGCAGAAGATCGGTACAGTTGGTTCCCTTTATCATTCCCACTTGAGCTAGTTGAGAAATTAGTCAATGACCTTGCACTTAAATTGGATAAACATAAGGTAGGAACCCTATGTGTTTTTTGTTGAGCATACTCGGCCCGGTTTGAGAAACTCGTGTCATTGACTTGCACTTGCTAGTATCAAGAACCCCCGCAATATTGAGACTAGTCCCTCAATATTCGCTAAATGATAGCTTACTGTGTCTGCCAAACACCCTCGCTATCATATCCTTTGCGTTAGTCTCATTTCGGTCCCATGTGCTATTTATGGAAAGTGTCTAGATTTGCTCATTTGGCATATCTACGGAATGTAGAGATTGGCATGAACACAATGGTGTTCGTCCCGTGTCCAAGTTGCAATCTAGCGCCATTCCATATTTAGTAAGTTTCGGACTTGTCCCAGAGACTAACTCCTGGTACTAAGGAAGGCTTTGGGTGAAAGCCCAAAGCGTGTGTCCCTCAAGGGGGGGGGGGGGGGCTGTGGGGGGTTCCAAATGTATAGTAGGGATAGTGGTTGGAATGCATGTCTGACCACCTGAGACATTAGTTTGGCTCCCGCTGGGCTGTGTTGCTCCTTGTTCTGTGTCTGGCTTGGGTCTAAGCCCAAGCTCCATGCTGCTCTAGTCGGTGGAGTACCCTCCTCCTCGCGTTAGGCCACCAGTATGCCAAAATTGTGCCAGACTCCATCTGACACCATTTTGCATGTAGGTGCTGGATACGGGGAGCTGGTGCTCGTGGGATTGTACTTGGTGTAAATTTGGTGTAAATTTGCGAGAAACATAAATTAAATATAAGCTAACTCAAAACCGGATGAATTCCAGAATGTAAAATCACAAATGGTAGAGTTTCTATCAAATAAAAAACCAGACACTCAGATCACCTCCACATTGAAAGATGCTCAACCAGTACATAACTTCCCTAAACTAGCTACATTGAGGGAACTATCACTGAAGTTCGTATGAATTGTATCTATTACTGACTTTAAATTTCCATTTCAGAGCGGAGGCACATCTAAAAATGGCAATTGCTGAAAACCCAAAAGAATGTACTTGATCTTCCTCTAATCCCTCTTAGATGATTTTGTATTTTTTGAGCTGTATTTGTTATTATTACAGATTCAACAGCTGAACAGAATGATAAGTTTTATCAAGTGGTGGGCTATTCAATGATCATGACAAATATTAAAATGAGATTGAGAAAAAGGAGTAACATCGTGTTTTATAAATATTAAAAAATAGATTCCCCGTCTAAAGTCCTCTTATATTTAATTAGAATGATGGTAGAAAACAAATTTCAAATTTTCAAAAAATAAACTAAATAAATCCAAATAATACAGCTCATCCAGCCGAACCAGATAGCAGCCCCCATGGAAGAGGAAGTCCATGTACGTATGGACAAGCTCCACCTGTGCAACAGACCACACGACATAGTTCCTCTCCTCGGGTGAGTGTGAAGGCTTTGGATTTGGCACACCAGCTCCTGCTTTAAAGGCAAAACCAAGTAGCAAACTTTGTTGAATGGGAACCAATTTCTTAGCTTTGACAAAGTAGCACTGGCTTTTGCACCATTATTTTTAAATATTACAACTCTTCAACAATGCTTTGCAATAGTTCCCATTTCTCTACTTGGTAGATAGAAATATTGCTCTGCTGAATTACAATCAATTGAAACCTGTATAAACAAAGGCTTACACTTGATTTTTGTGTATCTGGATTACACAACATCAACTTCTAGCATACAAGACACGGAAACAAGCATTCTTTGTGCAAAAACATCATCCAGCACAAGACCATTATTACAGTCATACACCCCTTTCATAATGGAGTCACAGTTACAAGTAGGGGTTTTTCAAACTTAGGAGCTTGAAGAAACAGTAATTTTTTACTCTATTCATCTCTTTCTTATCTTATTTATACTTATTATTGTTACATCTTCAGAATTGGAAAAAATTTGATTATCTAGCATAACAAAATATGACAAGGAAATAAACTAATAAAGACTGAAGACAATGAAGGCCATCTATAAAAGAGAGATTAAAGAAGAAAATGATAAACACACACTTCACAAAGATGTTAAGTTGGATGAGTGTAAATTTCAAAATTAAATTAAATTTTGAGTATGGCAATGCAGTGTTATTGGTCCAACGGTTTCTATAGATATTGTGACAATGATACACTCTGCATTGTCCCAAGGAGAGATGGATCACGGTGTAATCAGACAAAGATATGCACTGATCAAATAAAACCTGAATCTGAATGTGAATTCGGTGAAAACCATTTCTTCTATTTGCAGAAAAGATATCCTTCCTAATGCTAAGAGATGCTTTGGTCGTTGTCACAGAGAAGGCCTAGCACCTGTATGAATGCCAATGAACTTTTCTTTTAATTTCTACGGGTAGTATTAGATTCTTCTAAAAAAGTTTTGCAACACAGAATGCACCATCTTTGCTAAGAGTAAAATTCTTGAAACTCATCTACCGAGCTGATTTAGATTGTGTCTTTTATAACTCACACTGCTAAATTTACATAGATAAAACAAAGAAAAAATCAAAAGAAAACAATAGAGAAGCACTTACCAGAGTTTGTTACTTTATCACTCAAATGGAACATATATGGCTATTTCCCTTATCCATAAATGATATGCTAAAATCACTCTTGTGCAAGAGAAAATACTTTAGGTCTGTTCTTGATTCTTAATAGTCTAAACTGGATAATCTATGCAAATTGTGGAACTAAGATTCATTATTCCTCTCAAGGAGTGAGTAAATATAGAGCACACATAAATGTCGAGGTGTGTTCCACTGTAAAAAGTGTCAAGTATATATTTCAAATACATATACAAGGGACATGATTGTCAGAGGTACACCTTCGAAGGGATGAGAACTCAACACCTGAACAAGTACTAGACTGGGACGAAATAAAGGCTTTTAGAAACTGCCGCTATGTCTCCACATCAGAAGGAATATGGAGGATCTATGGATATGACTTACATGGGAGATCACATTCTATTGAGAGACTGGATATCCACCTAGAAAACCTTGAAAATATTTATTTCAATGATGGTGAGGAAGAGATTGCATTACAAAGAAGCCATAAAACCAAACTGACAGATGGTTTGAACTAAACAAGATTGATGAATTTGCAAGGACACTCTTGTACCACAAGATTCCTGAGTGGTATACATGGAATTCAAGAAACAGAAAGTGGACACCATGCCAACGTGCATTCAAGGTGGTTGATAGAATGTACACTGTATCACCGCATGACTCTCAACATTTCTACCTACGTTTGTTCCTGCTCTACGAAAAAGGTGCTACAAGTTTTAGTGATTTAAAGGTATTAAACGGTGTTGCATATGACACATACTGTTCTACCGAATAAGAAATGGGACTTTTACAGGATGATTATGAGTGGGAGAAATTTTTAGAAGAGTCGTTGACATTTCAGATGCCTGCAAAAGTAAGGTATCTATTCAGTGTCATGTGTTTGTTTTGTGAGCTCATTGATCCCAAAAACCTATGGGATAAATTCAAAGAAGGCATGTGTGAAGACTTGGTCTGAAATCACAACTATGAAGCAGCAATGTAACATGGATTGCATGAAATGTCAATATTACTCTAGGAACATGGCAAGAAACTGTCCGACTACAAGTTACCAGATCTAGAGTTTATAGGAGATAATGAAACAACAATTGAAACAAGATGTGTGCCATGCACACATGATGAAGCTGAATTACTAAAAACCAGATTGAACATGGAACAGCTTCACATATTTAACAATGTTTTAAATGCAATACAAAACAAAAAAGAAACAAGCAGATTATTCTTTGTTGATGGTGTGGGAGGCACGGGGAAATCATACCTTTTTAACACACTGATAAAATATGTCACTGCTTATGGCATGAAAGTCTTAGCAGTCACGTGGACAAGAATAGCAAGTACTCTTCTTATACTCTTCTTATCTGAACGGCTTATTCAACATTTAAGCTTCTGGTACAATCACAGAAACGTGCATCTTGGACCTACGAGAGAATTCAGCACCTGCTGAGGTCATAAGAAAAGCTGACCTGCCCATATGGGATGAAATAAGCATGGTACCCATTCACACTTTTAAAGCTGTCAAGAGGGTCTTGCATGACATTAAAAACTGTGATACAGAATTCAGTGGCATCACATTAGTTCTAAAAAGAACCTGTCGCACACAAATTGTCCAAAACAGCATGAAATCCTCACCAATATGATCGGAAGAAGAGATGTTGGACTATCCTATAGAATTCTTAAACTCAGTAACACCATCTGGAATGCCTCCACACAAGCTACAAATAAAAATCGGATGTATCGTAATGTTGTTATGCAACATTGACATTAAAAAAAGGCCTCTGTAATGGCACTAAACTAATTATAACCAGGGCACTACCAAATGTCATAGAAGTTGAGATTCTACATAATGGTATGCAAGGAAAAAAAGTCCTCCTACCAAGAATCTCTTTAAAACCAACTAACAGAGACATGCCATTTATCCTCAAATGACAACAATTCCCAATAAGGCTTGCGTTCTCCATAACAATTTGCAAATCTCAGGGACAAACATTACAGAATGTGGGTATCTACTTGCCAAGACCAGTTTTTGGCCACGGTCAACTTTATGTTGCACGTTCAAGGGGAACATTAAAGAAACAAATTACAATGTTTATCGAATAATGTGAAGGACAAGGTGTGCTCCAGAACCATAATGTCTATATGAAAAACATTGTGTATAAAGAAATTCTCTAGGATTCATGTCACCAATGTAACAGATGTCCTATATATCCCAACGAAGCTGGATTCCCTACTGGTCATCCTTCTATATTTAAAAGAGTAAGGGCGACATATTCAATTGAGATTCTTTTCGAGCTTAATGGTGGAGATAAAGACACATGAAAAAAAAAACAGTTGAGAGTGGAACGTTTTTATTTTTTAGGGTAAACCAGTTTTTTCAAAGCATTTTTCCAGAAGCACCTATGTAGTTTAGCATTTCACCATGCCATGAGGTTCACTGCTCTCATCAATCATAGCCTATCTCCATCTATAAGTCTCAAGCTTCTGCTCTTGAAAAGTGTGCTGCCAAGGACTTGAAGGTAACATATAAATAGAAAACGTATCAGCATTTGGAATTTGGAATTGGTGGTTGCCAACCCTGCCAAAACTAATGCGTTGATCCTCAAGGATTTTGCTCCTTCAATTCCTGACAAGAACATCACTTAAAGGTTATTGTTTTTAACGTTACATATGACAGATGTCATTCCTATTTATACAGCTCAAGCAAGCTGAGGAAGATTTGCGAAGCACAAAGGCAAAACATGAAAACTTTCAGAAGCAGGTGTATTCTCTCTGTTGCTTTTGTTTATCATTTGACTCATTGATTTCTACAGGAACACATGGTTAGAGGAAGCTTCTGCTAAGATCGAAGCTGCTGTTAGGAATAGTTTGGACAAAGTTTAACTCAACTTATTTTCATGCATGCTAAGTGGCTCCAATGTGGAAGTGTAGGCACAGGCCTGTGAAATTGAGCTTCAGAAATTGCACAGGCAGCAAGAGATTCGAATGCAAGAATGTGTGAACAAACTACAGGGTTGACAAATGCTGTGAGCACTACCAGTGCTGCAAAACAACACCTCGAGGACAGGTTTAGCTGTTAAATTGGATGTCTGTCAAATTTTTGAAGAGGACAAAAGAATCTTTTCTAAGACATTAGAACAAGAATCATCTAAGAAACACCATATTCGAATCCAAAATCAAAGTCTTACAAGCACCATTGACAGAGTAAAAGGCAGGCTTTAAGCAGTTCAAAAGTCATCTGAATTTTCTCAGATCATGGTAATGACAGAGAAACATCAAAATCTTTTAGAAGATGGTTTTAGTCTCCTCATATATTAATTTCATCAAATCAACAGATGGCTACAGCAGACTTGTTGAGGGAAGAAAAAACAAGGAAAACGAGTTGTTCCAAGATTTGGAGTCAATTACTGATCAGCTTGAAACTCAACGAGTAATGACCTTGTCCCTCATGAAGAATAAGGAGGGGGTAGAACTGTTCCTTATGTTACATCTTCTTAAAATGAACTTTAGGTAGAGTGAATGTGTTTGGAAGCTCAAGCTAAAAGAGAAAAGTTGAAGAATCAATTAAGAGGATTAGTAAAAAAGTAAGCTCATTGCGAGCTCTTACTCAGCCGCGACCCATCATATTCTAATTGAAGAAACAAAGGTTAAGTTTCATCTTGGCAAAACAATACAAAGAAACTGACCATGCTCCACATGATACCATTGTGGAAAATCAGAAGTTGTAAGAATCTCATGAGAACTAAGTTTTACAACCACACACGTTTTATCACCCTTTTACTAAACCGGCCATAGTCTATTGTTTAGAAGGATTGGCCAAAGTTAATGTTATAAGCCTCATTATAATAAGAATCAAGCAGTGTTCCAGTAAACTTAATTGAATGTTTAGCAAACAGTTTTCAATGCAATAAAAAATCTCATAGAATGTGATGCTTAGCACAGGTTAAGATGACAAACTAAACCAGTGTTTCGTAGTAGACATAATCTGGTATGAGATAAGTTTTAGATATATAGTGTACTCTAAATAGATAACGTTCATTTTCAAGCTTTTGATCTTCATCTGCACACATAAATACATGAGTACTCTATCAAGCAGTTAATTTAAATACATGAATTCAAAGACTCTTGACAAAAAACAGTTTCATGCCACTTTTTATTTTCAGTTCCTGATTCTGTACTGAAAGCCACAAACGATACAAGGCTTTTTTTATTATGTCTAGAGCTGAAATAACCATTTCTTTTGCTTTCCAGGAACTTGAACAAGCATCTGTAAAAGAACTCCTATTCCACCAAATTCCATTTTTCTTGAACAACAATCCATGTAACATCGGTTTATCAATCCAGATATACTACTGACAAAAGTAGTGTGTTTACTAATGTGATGTAGTGTATAAAAGTGTAATGTCAAGGATTTTCAGAGAGATTTGGAACTGGATTTTGAATTTGATTCTCACATACATTTTATATCATTGATGATTTATTTTGTTGACTACCTTCAAGAACATCCAAATTAGGAGTCATGTCCCTGCTCTATTTTAGATTCTGTGCCATATTTTAAATTTCAAGTGAAATAGCAAAAAAATACCCCAATGCAAAACATTTTTCCCTTTACAGAACATCTCTGAGGGTATGCAAGAATGTGCATTCTTCTGATTTACACTCATCCGCATGAATTTGCAGATATATGCTTCAGATTTGTACTTCTATCTGCCAAAGAACTTCAAAATTATTCTTCAAAACAAGAAGATTGAACATTGTAATTTATTAAGCAATGCCATGTATTTTGAAAACTCATTTACAAGACTTGAAAGCATATAAATGTAGGTTAAATATTTTTCTTTATCATTGAGATTTTTGCATATTTTGGGAAGAGTACATCTTAGGATTTTTATGGTTACATAACATATAGATGTACAAGGATTTAATGTTCATAAAGAAATCAACTTATAAAGGTAGCTAAAAATTTTTTAAAAAAACTTTTCAATTCATCTATAACAATGAATAAACAAATTAAAATAATTAATAAGTAAATTTTATCAAATATTAATAAACTAATATATAAATAAATAATATATTATATTATATTTATAAGATTAATAATATTTTATAGAGATACAGTACTTTATATTAAACACTTAAATGTTTTCATCAACTATGAGCAAGATATAGTTTGATTATTACACTTGTTATATTATATCGATTTAATATTATAATCTTAAACTTATTTCTAGGATTTAGGCACAGTAAATAGCTATAAATATGGAGAGGACAATATAATTATTAAATGCTCTAATTCAAAGTTTCACAAATATCTTCTTTTCAATTCAAAGCTCTATTTCGTTAAAGTGGGATTTATTCAGTAAAATGGGACTAGGTACAAATTTTCAAGTATTTGAAAATGACGTGAAATTATATGTTTTTTGTCCAGGGGCTAGACATATCTGGGGCATGGTGACTAGCGCGGTGACTTTGTGTCCAGACTGAGTCCATCTGGTTGTATAATAAATCTCATTGTCAAGGTGAACAAGCCGAATCTGAAGCTAAAGAAGAGCGATGGCATGCGCGCACACACTATTTGTTTGTTCATTGAGCGTGTGGTGAGCTTTCCAAGATGAACGTCATTCCTATTAGCTAGACATATAACTTAATGGTGAGAACATTTAGATATTATTCAATGTTATCTTTTTCTAACGAATCTAATTGTGAAGGTGTAGCAAGAGGCATTGCTAGTCTGGAGAAGTCATTTAACTCATTTGACCCTTAGTGTATTTTCATGAAACTAAATAACATTCATATTATTAAGGAATTTCTCTAGTACCTTTTTTTTACGACATAGAGGCTTGCATTTCTTTCAAAGGTGATTTAGTAAAAGGCCTGAGGGCACATGCCATTCTATTTCTCAGACCGGTATTAAGATATACTAGTGCAAAGGGAAAAAGGTATTTGGTGATCAAGTAAATGGCATGAGGGCACACGCCATTATAAGCCTAAGCGCTAGTGGACACCTCCTTTTTGGTACTCTCAGTGGTACTATCATCCTTCTCCGGGTCAGTTGT